AGTATTTATTGAATTAATTATCAATCTATAATAACGCGATAATACTGTTTCGAGTAAAAAACTGCGTTGAATCCGAAAGTAACGGCACGCAGTCTGCTGAAGCTAGAATACATATGTAAAATTTGCACAGAAGTATTATAAAAGCACTAAGATACTGGCATGACTTGCCATTCAGTGGCTTTCTCTCTAATCTATTCTCTGGTCTCGCATTTGTCAGGCGTAAAAAACGGATGGAAATTATAAAAGCTGTATAGTTCACTTTCCACAAAAGCATAGTTTCTACTCTTTTGTCAAATGACAAGTTTTCTTGCTTGAATAGGGTTCAGTTTACGTAATTTTCTTAAAAATAATTTATTGATTATCGCGAGAAAAAGGGATAGTTTCCATCTGTGTTACCTAAATCAAATAATGACAGTTGTGCACAACGGTAACAATAAAGGAATCTAGTCGGACGAACCATCGGCATCACTCATGTGAACAGAACAATTACGGAATGTGCCTTTACAATTTTGAGAGTTTTTTAGTGCTATGGGATATCTGTCATACACGCTTGTTTGTCCGAGAGGCCGCGTCGGATCTCTGATAACAAAGACGTAACTTTTTGTTTTCACCAAGGTTGGAAAAGTTACTTTATAAAAGTAACTCGTTATCGTTGCCGTTCTTTTTTCTGAAAAGTAACTTGTTATCGTTACTCGTTACTGATTTAAAAAAGTAACTCGTTACCGTTACCGTTATTAAAAAATTAACGAATCGTTACTTTTTCGTTACTTTTTTTAGATTCATAAAACGTAATATAAATTTCCACAATAAATATATATAGTATCATAAAATTATATTTTTTAAAGGAATAAGGTTGAAAATATATTAAATATATATAATTTCCAGTTAGTATTTATTAATGTTAGTATTTATTAATGTTCACGAATATATTAAATTTTGTTATGCATCTAATACATTATAATCACAAGTAATTTCTAAAAAAGTTATCTTTAAACAAGAAGTTACCAATTTTTAAGAACTTTTTATGAAAGAAATTATGACTCAAAATTTGCAAAACAAAATTACTTACTTTAAAAAAAATCACTTTTATAAGGAAGGGGATACTTCCCTACCTTTCATTGTAACACGAAACATATATAATATCTAATTGAAAATCGAAAAACTAATAAAGTGTTAATAAAATTATCAAAATACAAAAAACAGTTTGTTGCGCTAAATTATAAAATAAATATCTTCCAAAATATTACCAATTCAACCTATAAAAAATGAATTAAACTAATTAATTATTATGAAATCAATCATAATGAATCATTATGCTAATTAACTATGTTACCGTTAACGTTACAAATTATTAAATATAACGTCGTTACCTACTCGTTACTGAAAAAAAGTAATTGTAACGGTAACGACGTTACAAGTAACGCGTTACTTCTCGACCCTGCTTTTAACATATGTGATGTCGATGATTCGTCCCACCTGATTCCTTTATTAATGTCAAACACGACTTTCACTTTCGATGTACGCAATACATAGTAAGTTTTGTTTAGTACATCACCGACGAGATACTCTTAATTAAAGACCGACAGCCCTGGGTAAATTTTCGTGCCAGCAAATGGGTCCGGGGGGCCCGGAGGTAATTGCAGAGTGGCGATGTTATCAACTTTTGACGTAAATTAGCGATTTATTTGAATAATACATTATTATCATAACTTTTATTATATAAATGCTTTATGAATAAGTATGAATACTTATAATACTATAACATCAAATATATTGCCGCAAAATTACATTTTTTTCCATCTGTTTTATCATCTCTCTAGATAATCAAACTCGTGTGGTAACTATAAAAATGCAGTTTTAAATAAAATTAACTATTAGCAAGATATAACCCACTAAACAAAATTTCGTTCCAGCAACATAACAATAACGTTACATTAAAGCTACGCGACCTTTTCTGTGTTTTCCAGAGACGTTTATGTAACGTCGCTATAACCAGAAATGTCCTCATGCATTTACTGTTCGTATAAAACGTTCTATTTGTAACGTTTGTAAAACGTTTGATATACATATATGTAACGTTTCTGTGAAGTTCGTGTACAACGTTTCACTTGCAACGTTTGTGAAACGTTTGTAAAGTATATATATACATATATACAGGGTGTCCCGTAACGCTTAATTAATATTTCAAGGCGTGAAAGAGAATAAAATTTTGAACTAAAAGTTCCTCTTTCAATTTTGGCTCAGACCATTATTTACAGAGTTATTAACGAATAAAGTTAATCAATTAGATCGCGCTTAGCCGGAGTACGCAGGAGCGTATAGCGTGCCGTATGTGCGGCTCTTCGCGCACTTCACATACATTCTCCTGTGAAAGAGGAACTTTTAATTCAAAATTTCATTCTCTTTCACATCTT